AACGCCGGGACGGAGGACCGGGGTGGTGGCCAGACCAACCTGGTGGAGGGGAGCCTACACTCGGGTCTAGACCCGCCGGATTCCTCTCATGGCTGCCGTGGCTCGAGGTAGGGGAGATGTTAATAGCCGGGGCCGGCGAGCCGGGATGCGACTAGTTGTAGATTTTGAACAAACGGGTTCCCTGGGAGCTTTTATAGAGAAGGGCATGCATGATAGGACCGTGGATGTCGTAGTGCAAGTTCGTAACTGGTCGCTATTGTGTGATACGTACAAGGAAATAATATCGGCTCCCTTCCCTCTCCCTCCGTCCCATCTCATTCAATGGACGGGGAAAGAAAATGCCCTTGAATAAATACAGAAAAAAAGATGAAGCCCACTCCAGTCCCCTCCAATCCGTCTGATCGTAAGAAAAGTATGCGTGTACAAATCAATCATTGATGGGGAATCAAGGAGCTCGCCGTGTCCTAACACGCAATGAAGTCATCGCTAAGTCGTGGCTTCGTGAAGGCGGGCTGATTTTTGTGTGAGTATGTCCTGATTAGTGCCTTCTTCCCGTCGGAGCCATCGTCATGAACTCTAAATATTCGTCGTGCTTTCTCTTCCGAATTGCTGCCCCTGTCCATCATGCAGGAGCGGGTCGATACCCGGACCCATCCTCAAATTATTTTCTCTTGATTGTCGTGATGCCAATCTCTAAGAGTGTCACGCAGCAACCTCTTTATTGGCCAGTCGCGGTTTTGGTCGTATTCCTGGTCAAGCTGATACCAAGACCGACGCCCAGTGCGATGGCGATGATGATGAGCACGACAACGAGCAGGCACCACCACTTGAGCTTTCTGCGTCTCCTGGCGTGCTTGTTGGCTGTTTCAACCTCTTCGTTGCCCTTTTGGATGTTCTCGACGGTCTGCTGAGCATTCTGCTCGGCGGCTTCAACAACAGGCTCCTGGGCCTCAACAAGCGTGGCCATTTCTTGGTAGAGCGTGGCCAGCTCGATGAGCGTCTTTTCAATACGCTGCAGTTCGTTGTGACGGGCTCTGACATTGCCGAGGATGGAGTTGGCCTGGCCTGTCCGGTTTGATTTGAGCTGTTTGTGACATCAGTACAGCAGCGTTGGCGAGCCAAAAAAAAAAAAAAATTCGGCCAAAGGGGGCACTCGAAAGCTTACCGCTTCCTGGAAGACACCTTCATTGCCCCAATCCATCTGCGTCGCCTGCTCAACCTCATCTTCCGTCGCATCCGGGTGGACAATACGGAACTGGCGGGCGATTTGGTCGCGGTAACGGCGCTGGTAGTCCTGCTCAATCTGCTGGTACTTTGTGAGTTCGGACTTGAACGTGTTCCTCAGCGAGTTGAGCTGGGCGGTCTTGGTCGCGCGTGATCCGTCCCGGGTTTTGGCCAGGTCCTTCTCGAGGGCCTTAATGCCGTCCTTGACTGCCGTGTTGCGCAGTTGGGTCGCGGAAACGGCCTGCTCGAGTTGGTAACTGGCGCTGTTGTCGGGAGCGGAGAGTGAACGCTGGTGCAGTTGGGCAATGTTTTCGATATCAGACGTGAGGCCCTGGATCTCTGAGCGCAAGTATTGCACGCGCTGGAGGAAGTCTTGCTGGCTCATGATGATGGGCGCGGGCTGCTCGGCGTATTTGTCTGCCTCCCCATAGGGCTGCATTTCGTACTGGCCTTGGCCATATTGCGGCTATTACAGACATCAGCGATGCGACATGGAATTTGCAAATTCGCGCCAGAGCAAGGCAGCGAGCAATTGAGAGGGGGACAGACCTGCTGGTTGTCGTAGCCATACCCGCCCTCAGCCTGAGGGCCTTGGGCGTAGGGGTTTTGGTTATACTGTTGGTATGACATTTTGGCTTAGAACCTACTATCGATCTTGTCGATAGCAGACAGCGTGTTTCGAGCCACCCCAACTTGATTGCCAAAGTGTGAATGATTGGGAGAATTCAGTTGGGTCTCTAGTGAGAGTGTGTTGTGGTGGTGCGAAAAGAGGATATTTTGGCTGATGTCCGGTGGCCTGGTTAAATGACGTTGGACTCCGGGCGCTGACAGGAACTGGGAAGTGCTGGAAAGACGCTGAAATGACAGTGAGTATGGACCCAATCAGGCACCTGGACCCGTCAGAGCGGATGCTCCGGGCTGTGTTCGTGGTTGGATGAAGACGCTCGTGAACGGGGCGCAAGTGGGTAGGGTTAGCCGATCTGCTTTCCGGGGGTCCCTACTTTTTTCTTTCCCTTCTGAGGGAAACAAACAAAACCAAACAAAGTTCGGAAACGAGAGCCCTTTTTGGAGTGAGACGCTCTTTGATGCACCCCTCACACGCACGCTTCTCAGGTTACTTTTGCAACAAGACCAAGATGTTCGATGGGAGGGAAAGTCGGTCAGAGACGGACGTGATGAAGCGAACGCAGGGGCAGTGACATCAGAGCATATTGTGACGACGGACGGGGCGAAACTTAGGTAGGTCTTATTATACAAAGTACCAATACACGGGGAGACGCATTGCTTTTTCCTCTCTGTTGCGGTGTCCGTAGGAACCCCTTAGTGTCTCACGCACCTGGGTTAGTCCGACGGTGATGGGCAGGGCGCACGTTGTGCGTTGGACGGGAGGCTGGCTCTGCCCCCTCATACCTGGGTCCGCCTGTGCCTGCCTGCCCACCTCTCCCGCTTGGGAGCTTACCCAGCCATCTCGCCGCCGAACAAGTGACGAATGACAGTTTTGCCAAACGGCGATGGAGTTGAATATGGGCTGAGTGGCGGTGGTGATACTGTGACCGCCAATCCTGCCATAAAAATAGCCACCATGAACGGGTTTTGTGGCCACCAATGCTTGTAGTTTCCTCGTCGTTGACGAATCGATTATCCCGCTGCCGCCTACGTACAAGGTGCGCCGGTGGGCTCCCGGCTCGTTCGCCAAGCTCATGACCACAGAAAGCTCCCAACTTGTGGCTGTGCGTACCTACCTAGGCACCACCCATTTTTTGGGCCCACTCTTAGCGACCTAAGGCCTAGTTTTCGCGCAATAGCATGCAGGGAACATCACCTCGCCTGCCCGCTCATCCCAAGCCCAGTACGAAAGCCATACCATACCTACTGTACACTTATATGAGGCCACCATTGGTAATGAACCGCTATCTCCGTATCCGTGTTACGTGTATATTGTGGCGTGACACTTTAGCTGGTGACTCTCAAGCAGTTCGCTAGATCGGCTCATTATGCCATGTTCAACTTCATCCATAGAGAGCTCAAATGCCCCCGTGAACAATAGCTACAGCTCATTGCACATTGTCCATTTGTTCGTGATGGCCGTCGCCCAAAAGGTGTTCGTTGCCAGCGAATGCTGCGGTGCATCCAACACAGACCCCAAACTTACAACAACGGTTCAAAAAGCATGGAACGTGATCAGTCAGCTCTTGATAAATCCCATCCTCATCCAACTCTGCTACGATAGGCAGCTCCGGGGTTGACTTTGTGCAACGCTGTAGAAGAAACTTTCGTCAAATCTGGTGTAAGCACCATGAAAAACTCAATCTAGGTATACGAACTCATTAGCCCCAATCCATCTTCGGCAGCCCCAAGCCACGGTGGCTAGATAGGTGGGGTGGTTTGAAGAGGCGGCTTCGGCTTATCGATAAGGAAAAAGTTTGGGCGGGTCGGCGGACGATAGATCGCGAACTCAACCACTTCATACCGCATCACCGCCCAATAAACCGCCCAATCTTTGCCGCAGCAATTAGTGCGGACACAAGACCTACTTCTCGAATCATTTACGAGTCTTCAACTTTCAGAAAAAAGAAGGAAACGTCCCGAACAGCCTCGAAGATCGACGGCGCATAACGAGCTCGATCCCAACGACACTCACCAATACCGTCCACGATGATTCGCAAACAGGCGCGACAGCGCCGCGATTATCTCTACAGGAAGGCACAGATCTTGAAGGATGCAGAAACCAGTGAGAAGCGTGCCCAGTTGCGTTCCGCGCTTGCTGCTGGAAAACCGCTCGATCCCGAAATCGCACGAGACAAGACGCTTCGCAAGGATTTTCAGTACGATCAGGCCAAGCCAGAGCTTAGTGTCCAGGAGGAAATGGACTTGGACGACGAATACTCAATGCTGAGCGGCATATCAGAGCCTAGGGTTCTCGTCACGACCTCGAGAGATTGTTCCAGTCGTCTCGCCGCCTTTTCCAAGGAGATAAGGTTGCTCCTACCGTATGTCAACCATTTGTCTCTCTCCGTGGTTTCACCAAGCTAACCCAAAGCCATGTAGAACGTCTGTACGCCTCAACCGTGGAAACCTGATTCTCCCAGATCTAGTGCAGTCTTGCAAATCCAACGCGTTGACTGACCTCGTCCTACTACACGAACATCGCGGAAATCCCACAGCACTGACCGTAAGTTTGCTGCGTCCATTGAATCATTCATGGGCTCACTGTAGACCAGATCAGTCACTTGCCACATGGACCGACTGTCAGCTTCAGTCTGCACAACGTTGTTCTCCGTAAGTCCGTCCTCTCGGATCATGATTCAGGAACGCAGGAGTCCCATAGAAGAAGGCATGATGCTGGTCTTATCATCTGCCGGCTGCTCTTAGTCTGTTCCCTAGGTTTCCGATGGCTGTAGATTATTATAGTCA